TTCCAATTTTGGCTCCATTGTTCGCATCAAGACAAAAGAACGAATGTATTTTTGTGTAGGAAGACAGAATCAATGTCGAATTTTCAAGAGTTTCAAATGAAATTCTTAAAAATAACTGTTAAAAAAGAAAGAAAAGAAAAGAAAAACGCTAGGATAATCCATAATAGATTGATAAGTGCAACTATTATGAGAAATAAAGAATTTTGTAATAGGATCGGACGGAATGAAATGCAGATCGACAAGTCAAAGTGTTACAAATTGGTTGTTTGCCTTATATCGAGTTACAACTAATGTGAATGACATCATCACGTGTCGTTGTTCTGTTTGATAAGATGGATTGCGTTTGGCCCAGTTTAAATAAGAAAAGTTGACACTTTGATATTTTATAATTAAGACTTAAATTGTACGCAATCTGATTCTTTATGATTTATTTTACGTTTACTTTTTTTTACGTTACACCAAAGAAAAACTATAAATTTTCATAGCAAACTGCTTGTTTGCTGGTCCCATTTCTTATCCTAATAACAATAAGGATATGACGAAAATTCAGTGTTAAATTATGATATTATTAACCAATGAAATTTAATAAGCCAAAAATTTTTAAATTTCTCAACTCATAACTTATATATTTTTAAAAATTAAAATTTCTAATTAAGTTTACAAGAAGTCAAACAGTGCCATTTACATTAACGCAATATAAACTTGTAAATAACCCAGAGATGACTTCATATTATTTTAGATAATTATAAATATTTTTTGCATATATTCAGATTCTACTCGTAGAATATTGCTATATTGCTTTATTATAAGAGGCCATGGAAACTAAGTTTAGGCCTGCGAAAAGTAATAAAAAAAATAAAACAGTTCTTGTAAAACTGTATTACGATTTTTGCTCTTGATGTTTTTAGATTAAGAAGAAAGATTAGGGCAGATGGGAATTCTTATAGATAGACGATATTCTATAAAGGGAACTTATGTTTATCAGTATGTCTGGTAAGGAAATTCTATTCTATTTATTTTATGTCAGTTGAGGGAACCGTGTTTACTTTTTCATTCGCACATTAATCGGTTGGGACAGTATACATTGAATTTGCGGTGTTCTAACCTCAAAAACACGTTGAAATTCTTTAGAAAAGGCTTAATAACATCATAAACATATTTAAAAATATGTAAGAAAGGCATTTTTAATAAAATCTGTAAAAATTTATCTCAAAAAATTATCATAATCTTGTTGAAAGGAGTCGGTTTTCATACTGAATCACTAGGAAATTTATGATTTATAGTGATATAATGTATGATATTTCTATAATAAATTAAAAAAATTGAAAGCCGTATGTAGTTTTTATGGTTTCGAATGCGATAAAGTTAAATTTATTTAGTAATAAATTTAAGAAAAATGATTGAATGATTCTTTATTAATGCAAAATTATCGAAAGCGGAACGTAAACAATGGTACAAGGACATCCAGATGTTCCGGAATCCTCCATGTTGGAGAATATGGTTGGCAGAATGTCTTGTTTATAATAGTATAACTTACTACCGATGGGATAATAAAATTTGTAAATTTCTTTTTTATAAAACTATACCCTTTGCTCTTGATACTTACGCAGCAGTTTTCGAACGAGTTATGTTTCTGGGAACATCTGTTAAGACATCCTCTGTAATACGGGAAATACTGTTTTAGATAAGGAAAACATTGTTTAAATTAACGCTATGCTTGAATGGTTCTTCCGGTTACCCCATGTAAGCCTTCTAATAATAATTAATAGAAAAAGGGGGTTAAAAGCTTCTTCGTCCAGCGTGTATATTGTAAAAATCTCTTTCTAAGTATCAAAAAACTAGCATTGATACTTCGAAAGTTTCAAGTAATATATAATTTTAATAGTTTGCGATTAAAAGATAATGTTTAAAGATGTATTTTATCTATTTCTCTTTTAAAATAAACAAGAAATTATATGATTGATGATCTGAAATGATGAGAAACACACTCGTAACATACGATACTATGAAGTTCTTAATTAAAAAGTACTAAGAAACTACGATTTCGATGGGGTAGGCCTATAAAAACAAAGAAAATTTCACCAATTACAAATGAAATTTTAATTAAATAGATGTTATTTTAAAATTTAATTAGATTATTAAGAAAATCGAATTTCAAAATAAAATTTTTGTAAGATTTCTTACAGTAGGAATGAACGGATCGTTGGGTCAAGTCTAATTTCGACAAGAAAACTGCAGCGTATAGTTTGATAATTAATCTAGAATCAGATTAAAAGATTTTTTAAAAATGTAATTAAATTATTCACGATTAATAGAAAAAAATCTACTTCGAAATGGTAAAAATTTAAGAAGAAAATCAGGCCATGGATGGCGTTAGAAAGATTCGCAAGATCAACACTACGCAAGCAGCATTTCCAAAACACGAAATCCTCCTTAAGAAGAATCTTGTTGCACTTGAAAGTACATCCTAAATCCTAAGATTTATCTAAGGATCAACCTTCCTACAAGTTAGGAAGTCTTCTTTACCTTCTATGATCTTTTCCTGTAAAATCTCCAGAGAGAAACGATTTTGCTAAGCGCAGATTCGGATAATCAAACACCAAGATTCTCAAGAAAAGAGGGATAAAATTGATTCGATAACATAGAAAACCAAGCTATTAATAGCCTCTTCAACGAATAGACGATTCATCATTTGATTAAGATTATTAGAAATCACTGAATTCGTTGGAAGTTCGAAAAACGTATTTTAGAAATGGCGTAAACCGCTTTCTAAGAAACCTTAAAATTAACATCTGTGCGTCATTTTACACGGATACAGTAAGTTTAACGATACGTAACGACTCTTACAACACTTAAATAATCATGGAAACCCATTTTTAGCTACCTTTTTTATTCATATTTTTAATCCAAACAACTTCATTGCCTAATAATTATGGTGAGCCGACATATTTGTTTCCATAGTTCTTAGATAGAATTCGATAGCGTCTTTAAATAGATTGATTGAAAAGAAAATACAGAATGGTTTATTTAGAAGCTGTTTTATTTGTTTAAAATGTAAAGAAACTGCTTTATTTTATTAATCTGGATGATAAGACCCTACCCCAGTCAGATTTATACGCTGAAAACTTTCATTTTACTGACCTTTATAAAATGGACTTATATAGATATTTTTATGAAAAAAAAAAACTACCTTCTGCACTTATTTCCCCTATTTAAACACGTATAATTAACCTTATAAATTAGAAGGGAAAAAAACAAGAATTAGAAATGAGTAATCTGTCAAACGTAATCAACTTTAGCAATGAGTAGAGAGGATCATAAGTTAGTAATTTGCTATTTCTAAGTTTGATGCGATGATATTCTTGGGAATGGCATTCTTAAAATAGAATTTCTCTTTTTTTTTGGACGCGTACAAAAAAAGTATTCATCATTTAATTAAGTTTGAAAAATGCGACATTTAATTTTGAAGTGAAATTTTATTTTAAAATTAGCTTATTTTATAAAATCCATTATTTAAAATTAATTATTAATTATTTAAGTTAAGAATTCAGATAAGTTTTATACAATTCCTGCCATTATTTACACGGTACGAATTGTAGAAATTTTCGATTTTAACATCCGAATAAGGTTGTAAATTATATAGCCTATATTTTTTTAAAATTAATAACTAAATTAACCTTTAATTATTTAAATTTTAAACATTTTTACTTCAGATTTTCACAACAAAAATAAGCGCTTAAATATTCGTTCGAGTGTAGGCCTTAGTCTAAATTAACTTAAGCACACAAGAGTATAGTGTATTAATTAAAGAATTAAATTTCAGTAGAAGAAATGCGAGTAAAATGAATGAAAAATTCTTATTTTTCTTGTTTTAATTGCCAAATTTTCAACCGAAACTAAGTTGATAAAAATTAATCTTAGATGATGTAGAAGGCTTCCATCATCATATTTAACCAACTATAACAGATGATTAAGAAAGGTAGAAGTAAATTATTTATTAAAATCGATCAAAATTCTTAATAGAAGTTATGTAGTTGTGCAAACATTGTTGATTGCTGATCAAATATTTGACAATGGTCTGATGTAGTAAAGCCGATCCAAACGGTTATTTAACTTTTAAGTTATCACATCCAAAGTCGATTAGCACGTTTCTGATTACAGGCAACATATCACATTCCAATAAACTGATGCTGTAATATTATCTTAGTTTACAAGCGTTAAAATAAGAAACAGGATAGTATGAATGCACTCTTACGAATTCTTAACCTATATTAACCATATTAACCAACAGAATTCATCGCTATTATAAGGTATAATATAATACAATTGATATTCTACACCAGTTATTATGTTATACCTGCCACTATTTACATTTATTATACTGTATCTGGTTCTTTAAATTGCGAGGAATCGAACATTGAAATGCCTTCAATTGTTTCTGTTTTTCGTAGCCAATCACCTTACATAATCTATGTTTATATCGTTAATTCTCTCGCTATTTATATACGTTTTTAAAATGATAAATATTTAAAAGCTGTTAAATACTTTTATTTAATTTTAAAGTTCGGTACGGGAGGGATTTAATTGGTTATTTTGGTATTAGAAACTCGTACGTGATACGTATTATTATTGTTTTCAGTATCTGGGACGGTTAAGCGTACACACGTTATGAAAACGACTATAATTAGACTAGATGACAGCTGATATTCTGTTATTATCTTAATTTTTCCGAGTTCAGGTTACATGTTAATGTATTCATCAAGCCTTAGTCTAATTTAACTACATGCAGTCAAGGATAAAAGACACAATTAGTGCGCAAGATTAATTGATATAACAAAGTACTGTACTCCTATTTACATTCATAACTTTTTATTATGGTTGTTATTATTATGATGTTATCCCAGCTCATGCATACAAATCCTACCGAGACCTACTACAATTTCCATTTTAAAACTGTGTAGAATAGATTTAAACTAACAGGACACATAAAATTTACTTACATAATAAATTTAAGATCGTCTCTCTCACATCCATCATCTTGATTGTCCATACATGTCTATCCTTATTTTTTTTATGTATAATTATTACACGATACATCAACTTAGATGATTATTCTTTTCACAAGAAACATCGAAGAACTGTTTCCTCAAATTCAGTTTATTTTGTTCAGCTACAGGAACAAATTGGAATCAAAGGCAAAATAAGGCATTGTTAATGAATTAAATTAAACAAAAATGGCCATCGAAGGAGCCCAAGAGACGTCTCTAGGGGAATGAAGCTTTAATATCTATTTGAATCGTAAGCATAGTATGAAGTTTGTGCCCTATAAGTATCGCTTCCCATCTGACAACTGGAAGTGACTGTTACTGCAGAGGAAGGTGAGATCAAACGTTGAGACTCGAACATTTCTCTGATGCACGGAAAAACGTTATCTGTGTTCAGGTTTCCGTTACTTTCCTGGGGAAGAGCGTACCAGGATTGTCTATTGTTATACTGTTGACCCAAAACGGCATTAGCAAGACATGTTTGGTTGTCCGTCTGTCTCTCTCCACCGTATAAACAGTTAATATCGAGTGGCGATGAAGAACAGGAAGATAAAGGACTAGAACAAGCAGGTAGGTTACAGGTATACATACCATTGCCCGGTCGTACGTAAGAGCTTCCACATACACTGTCGTTGATGACACCCAAAGCGGGCGAGTCCGGTCTAGTAGACACTAACGTATCTACTGTGAAATTAGTAATGGTTGCCGGTTCTAAATTAGTATCATTTATAGGTGTGGAGAGTATTGAATTAGTTGTAGTAGTCGAGAGAAGGTTGGGTGCTAACGAAGCGGCCGCCGGACTTGTCTTGCATTCGTATTTGCAGTCAGTAGTCGACACTTGCATGCAAGGTGCTAAAGTAGGAGGATCACTGGGTTCTAGTTTTGTAACCACGCTGCAAGGTGTATGGGAGGTTCCATTTGTTTTAACATAAACCTTTTCCTTTCTTTGGCAAGATTTGACGTTATCCGATCCTTCTTTCTTCTTGTTTTCGTCTTCCTTATCTCGATTAGTATCCTTTTTCTTAAATCTCCTCCTCCTACGTAAATAGCTTCCATTGTCGAACATATTAAGACTATCGGGATCCAGAGCCCAATAACTACCTTTACCTGGCTTTTTATCGTCCCTTGGCACCTTCACAAAACACTCGTTTAGGCTGAGATTGTGACGTATCGAATTCTGCCAACCTTGCTTATTTTCACGATAGAATGGAAATCTATCCATAATAAACTGATAAATGCCATTTAAGGTGATTTTCTTATCCGGAGCATTCTGTATAGCCATAGCGATAAGTGCTATATAACTATAAGGTGGCTTTACCATGTCTTTAGCAGGAGGTTGAGATCCCTGAGCTGGTAGAGCGTTGTAAGGTGGTCCGCAGGGCGACGGTCTGACAATTCGGTTGTTGTGGCCATACTGGTTGTAAGCCTGACTATACGCAGGTAATACGTTATTCGTACTATTCATGCCGACCGCCGAATATCCCGTGTATCTGTAGTAGTTTTGATGATCTCCGTAAAGGGGATGCATCTCGAACCGCTCGTTTAACTCTCAAATATACATAAACAGCCAGCAATTCTTTCGGTATCACCTCAGACGAGCTGTGAATATCCAGAACGAACGTTCGACTGCCGGCTTAGGCTTAACACTAGGCCTAACGACAGTCGCTTCCTTTGACTGGCTATAGTAGACCACCTTGTGCAGCTCTCCACCCAACTCTGCTCTGGGTCATGTGCAGCGACCAATCATCGTTCACAACGTTTCCCAGACGTCCGACCAAATGACGGTACAAGAAGATGTGACAAGTCGATATATGATGTGACAGCGTCACAAATAGTTCTAGCTGTCGGCACTGGTCCTCAAACTTCCTGGTAGGTGCGATTTTTTTCCCTTTTTTTTTTTATTTCTCCCTCCTCGCTAGCAGGTGGCAATATTTTTTTATTCTCCTAAATATTCTATAGAAAATTGAGCTTTAAAGTCTTTCCATCTTTAATTAAGTTCGATAGAAATAAAAATTCATATTTAAATAATTAATTAAATATTTATTTTTTTAATTTACTCTTAATTCATTTTTATATAGGATAGGCCTACTTCAATTTCTTATTTATTTATTTTTTAATTAAAGGAAAGTACTATAAAGTTACGTTATTTTTTAAGAAATATTTTCTCTATTTTTTATAACAAAAATACAAATTTTATTTAAAAAAGTCGAACGTATTTGCGACAATTGACCTTCTAAATTTAGCAGCGAGTTGTTTAAAGGGGGATCCACAAACCATCTGGACAAAGTATGGGAACTGACATTCGCAAACTGCTACTTGTATACACAACCGTCAGATTTTCTACTGTTTATTGGTATTTATTCGATGCTAATTAGAATAGAAAAACTTTTCTTACATAAGCGCACGTTTCGGATAGAAAATTACACACAAATAGATGGATTACGTTCAAAAATTCCAAATATACTCCTCGACTATCGCAAGTTTCGCTTAAAATTTGCATACGATTTATTATTTTAACACGATCCTATATAATATTTATTCGTGCCTTAGACTCTAAAATGAAAGCAGCCAAGCTTATTTTAACCGAATACTTTAATTATACTACCGTAGACTTACTTAAACCATTGATAGTCGGGATAACAATATAGGAATTGTCACTAAGACTTGGCTTGTAATAACGTGTCAGTCGGTAGTTTAAATTCTTTTAAGCTTCGCCGTGTTAATTTTTATATAAATTAAAGTAGAAATAATTATTTAGGCCAGTTATTAAGCTACACGGTAATACTACAACGCACTCATTAGCGTATCATTTGAACTGTTCTAGTCTCATCAACGTCTCCACAAATAGGGAGACATTTTTAGGACCTGAGTTATACTACAAATTTAACTTTACTCTTTCGATCTTTGCCTTTCTAAACTGTTAATGTCAGTTTACTAAGCTCTATTCTAATTTATTCGCCGATAAAAGTGCGGCTCGTTAAGGAAGAAGGAATGGCGTGGACGAAAATATCTTTACAGTTCTATAGCGTTTGTAATGAAGCGAATCGGGCACCCAGTGCCCCACATACAGTTTATTTATAGTTAAGCCAAAATTCCCAAAAGGTTGATGCTGAAATGGAGGAAAAAATCATCCTGTCACTTTCTCTGGCTTCTATCAAGTATATTGGAATCGGTTGCTGAGAATTAATGATGAAAATGTCATACCTGTGATAGATTAGAAGCGTACTGGATGAAGGCCAACTTATCTTGGATGCACAGAGCTTGGCTGAAAAGAGATATTTTTTAAGTTTCTTCTGTGTGTATGTGTGTGTGTATAGCTTATATATAAACTTATTTTAATTCGAATTTCTCTTAATAATATTTATTAAATTACCTTTACGAAATTTTAATTAAAATTTTGCAAAAAAATATCAAATTAGATTATTTGAAGGATGTAAAAATCGGTAAAAATGTCATGGAAACGTCGAATTGTAAGGCGTGTCTGTTGACAACCAATCATACGATGCTTTATGTCGAGGGATGGGTCTTTGTATTGAGCGGTTATAACATAGAATAACAGAAGTTCTCCCTTTTTTTTTTAAAATTATAACTTAATAATTTACGTAAGTTTACGTAGACTATCTTCTAGTACTAATACTAATTCAGTCTTTCCTGTCTTACTTAACTGCATTGTTGTATTGCCAATCCTTGCATAATTCGCCCAGCAACGTGAACTATTGTGTCTCATTTTAGATAATTATATCAAATTTTACTTATTTTAAACAAATTTTTCTAGTAATTCATCATTAAATGATAATAGAATGTACGAAAACTAAATTAAAATACAAAGAACGAGTTAGGATTTTTATGTTGATCATTTGCCAACTTTTGTATTCTTGTTCAATCAAATATATAATTTACAAAGTTNGCTGCCCTACTATAATAAATATGCCTCAAAGAGCTACAAGTCTTGGAGACGTTCCAGATGAATTCTTCTAATTTGCTAGAAGGATAATTAGTAGCAGTGGTTTGGCTGTAACGAGACTCTTCATTAATCTTATCCGGTAAGAAAAAAACCAACAATTAATAGCTTTTAAACGAATATTTCCATCTTAAAAATTCCATCTTCTCGATAAAACTGTCCACTATCATCTTAAATATCATTTCGTAAGACAGAAACTAATGACAATTATGGAATTTCGATTTATATATCTTAGAAGAAAGTCCAATTTTATATAGGCTAGGCATTTTTCTTGACTTCCATATTTTAGTTTTAGTTGTTTTTTGGCACTTATAGAATGTTTTTCAATTTCTAAAAACTTTCTCACAGTTGTCAAACGATGATTAACCCAATAGGGGTTATTTGACAGGAGGCAAAGTAAAGGATGTACACAGGTCGCTCGACCTCTCCTCTTATCATCCTCACACCGTCCAATATGGCAGCTCCACCTCCTTCGCCAAAGACTTTGTTGTGTTCAACTTATCAGCATATCTGTCACCGATAGATATCGTTGTTATATACAAAACATAAATAGCGACTAGTTAGCCTTCTCGCTACACAACTTGTGAATTTTTTCCTCTTTTTATATAACTATAATTTCAAAATTTCCGAATCTAAAATTTAGTTTTTCCGTTTCAGGTAATGAATATCAAATCCTTCAAGCAGAAATTTCTAGGTAAGATTTTGTTTATTGTTGCTTCAAAAATTCAAAATTTACATTACGTTAGAGTTTATTCTAGAATTTTTTTAAAAGAAAATTCAAGCTTTAATTCATTAAATTTAATACAATAAGTCCAGTAATTTAGTAAGTAAAAGAAGCGAATTGCTCTCGAAATAGTCTAAATAATATTACTTAAAAAGTCGTAAAATTTATATAAATTACAGTTATAGATAATATTATTTATATTTAGATTTATTTCTTTTTCTCTTCCTTTTTTTTATTCGTGTAAATTCGATAAATTAGATCACTCGTCTAATGCTCAAAAGTATTATAGGCCTAAGCTTTTTAACCTTAATAACCTTCATGTTTAGTAGAAAGTATATATCCTTTATTAGTTAGAAAATATCTTAAATAAAAGAAAAAAAGGGAAGAAAAACAAAGACAGTTCTTTTTCTTAACTTTAAATTCCATATGAGATAGAATTTGGAAGTTTCCAAGATAAAAGAGCTGAGCTAAAGACAAGAAAGAAAGTGTGAAAATTTATTTGTGCATTGAAGCTTTCAAGCTCAACTTGTCAAATGTCCGATCCAGCTGCCGTTCGAAGTATTAATCCATTCCCACTGTCTTCTGTCAATCCTTGTTAGACTTTTGTCTTAGCCCCACCCAATCCAGCTGGGACCTTGGCCACTTTGGATTCGTATTACACGAAACGCCTCCATGTCACGTGGCGGGTGGTCTTCGGGTTGCAAGAACTAAACTATTACCCATGGGTCAGATCATACTCTCTTTCGTACTGTTAGATGGGAAACTTCGATGCTACATATAGCCTTTGTTCCAATTTTACTCTTTTTTCACACAGGCTGCATTTGTACAGATCTGAAATTTGGCCTATTTACTTAATAAAATTCGATATTTTAAAATATAAAAATATTGTTTAATTTAAGCATTTTTCATATTTTCGATTTAATAAATAAATTTATAATTTAATAAATTAAAATTAATGCGAGAAACCTACCAAGTGAACAGTTCAAGAACTGAAAGATTAAGCATGCTTTGAGTTAAAACACGGAAAACTCAAAGATTATTATTACAAAAGAAAAAATAATAATAACAATAAAATATTTTATGATTTTTTAACTGAAATTTTCAGAATATTTTAATATTTAAGGAAGATTTTTTAAATTTCTTTAATAAGACAAGCCTATAAAAATAAGTTACACTAGTCATTTGATAGGCCTTTACAATTGTTTAGCATTTGCTAAGCAATAGCTGTATATAACTCGAATTTTTTGCATACAAATTTTAAAATCAAGCATTAAAAAATGCAGTTGTTAAATAGAATAATTAAACTCTACAAAGTTATCTTCTAGCCTAATAAAAATAAATTATAATGTACTAGTGGAATTTTATATTTTAAAATAATTTTAATTTATATTTACAGAAATATATACATATAAAATAACAGTTAATTAGGCCTACATTAATTTAATTAATGATGTACTGTACATAATAAGCCGATTAAACTTAAATTTATGTTTATAACATAAATATTTAGTAACACATAACTCTAACATTAAGAGTAAAGTCGAGTATTTTAAATAAATATCCATTAGCTAATGTGAAATAAATACAGGATAGATGATAATGTAGGAAAAGTTGGCCTAACCGCTGCCCTACTATAATAAATATGCCTCAAAGAGCTACAAGTCTTGGAGACGTTCCAGATGAATTCTTCTAATTTGCTAGAAGGATAATTAGTAGCAGTGGTTTGGCTGTAACGAGACTCTTCATTAATCTTATCCGGTAAGAAAAAAACCAACAATTAATAGCTTTTAAACGAATATTTCCATCTTAAAAATTCCATCTTCTCGATAAAACTGTCCACTATCAAGTACTAAACATCATTGTAATTAGTATTAGTAGATTAATTTGTCGTAGATTTTAAAATTTAGTGAGAAATTTTAAACAAAATTCTTTTTTTTTTGCTGAATCAAATATCGATTTTTAACCAAGAAAGTCCCACTTTCTTTTCTGTTTACAGTTGAGACAGAGTGGCGAGCTGAGTCACGATCGACCCCCGAGGACTATTCTTTGACGTCATCAGCAGGATTTGAAGTTTCAATTAATTGCAGCAAATGACATTTTCCGAGTAATCTTTCGAACAGAAATAGCAATAAATTTTGAGCAGATTGATCTAACATTTTTTTTTTTTAAATTTATTTTTTAATATAAGAAGCAAAACTCATATAACATTTATTGCAATGGGGTGAACAACATAAGACATTTAATTACAATTAATAAATATGTATTGAGAATAATTAAGTTATTTTTTTTATATAACATTCTATAAAGGATATTTGACTAAATCAATACTCTTTATAACACTTTTACCATGAATTTTGCTAATTCAGTTAGTTATAGATGATTAAATTACATTAAAACATAAATTAATTATGTTTAAGCATATTTTTTATGGTTTTAAAATGATTTAAAATATATATCTATATATACAGACTTAAATCCTATATTAAAAGATTTATAGATGTATACAATTTATTTATTTTTCATCCTATTTGTGTTACATATTTAAATATGAATTTTTAAAGATTTTGTTACAATAATTTTGAAATTTGAATTTAATAAAATAAATATAAACATTAGGCTATTATATTTATATTTAAAGTAATTTTAGTATGTATAAATCATCTCTCAACATTTATTTTAAAGATTACAAAATGACTTTTTTGTTTTTTTTTTTTTTGTTTTTATGAATGGAAAAATTCAATAACTATTGATTTTTCATTAAATTATATAAGCCCTGATGAAATCTGAATAAATTTAAATGTAAATAAAATACAATTTAAACAATTTTTTTATATAATTTCAAAAGTACAATTGAAACATGAGAGATTCTATTATTGAAAGGAAGTTTTTTAAATTGTTATACATTGAATAGTATATTTATCTATATTAAAAGTTGAATTAGATGAATAAAGAAGAATTGAATAATTGAATTTTAAAAATATTTTTGTAATTTATGAAAAAATAACATTTATAAAAAGAATTTTTATTAATTTTTCTATTTTTTTAAACTAAATAAATCTCTCATTTCTTGTTGTGTAATCATCATTCTTTAAAGAATTTCTTATAATTAATCTTTCATGCAGATACTAGGAAATGTTCATTTATTTTTATTTTAAACTGTGATATTATGTAAGAAAATTAAATAATGATTTATCATTTATAATAATTTATATGATAAAATACATTTTTCCTTCTCCTTTTTGGGTTTTTTTTTTAATAAGGAATTTTAGATGATGAAGCAAATCACAGCTTGAAAAACTAAAATAAACAATAAAAATGGTTTAAAAATGAGAAAGATTTATGAACATAATTAAAATGAATGTAAAATATTTTCATTTTAAATTCAACATTAAGTAATATTTATATGTAATAAATTATGGATGTATGCTTTTAAATTGAGAACAGAAGTGAGAATATTGTTTACATCATCAAAAATTATTAATTTTAATATTATATTTAATTAAAATTTAAGAAAATAAGATTTAAGATGNTAAAAATTATGAGACTTAAAATATAATTTTATTAATTTAATTTTCAATAAAAAATAATAATTGCATTCATATTAAAAACAATTCAATTAAATAGCAAATTTGAAGTCTCTAGTTCTTAAATATATTAATATTTTTCACATAAAACAATAATTCATATTATTTTTTTTTTTTGCTCTCATTAATGGCAGTAGATTAATAAGAGCAATGTTTTATATGTAAGCAATGTGTAATGAGAAGAAAGAAGTTTATAAATAAATAAATTACACACACACTTTCAAGATATATAGGCTAAAAAACCATATTTATATCATAAACATGGACAATATTTGAAAAATTACTGATTGATAGTTTATTTATAAATTTATTGAACCATAAAATAGTTTACATTCTTGTTTGTAATCATTATTTTTCTTATATAAACAAGGAAATAATCTACCTGATCCTTCTAAACACATTGATATACGCTCACGTAACTACTGTTTTCATTTCAACCGTGCATTAAAGGGAAAAATAAATAATTCTTAATTGTTTCATACAATTCAAACACAAATTATTGTTAATGTTATCACACTAGAATAGTAATATGTCAATTGTAATTGTGTGTATTATGGAACCAATGAGAATTTAGTGGAAAAGAAGATAATCTATCTTTTATTCGTTGTTTAAAGCTTGAAAGTTTCAGTATAGAAAAGTACTGTACTTAGTATGCTATGGAGCTAACTTGGCTTTTCTCATTTGCCATACAATTATTAGAATAATTCTTCGCTTCTGTAAACAAATAAAGAAGAAATGAGAGTGGAAAGAAAGAAAGCAGTCCAACACGATCTTTACTATTCTGCACAGTATGGCGATGACAGAATGACAAAAGGAACTTTAGCTGATCAACCCCTCGGACCTCCAACAGGGAAGGGAAAGCACACGTGCTGCACAGCGCCACCTGCAGGTGCGAGAAATTAGCCGACAAAGTCTCTACACAAGATCTTAGCTGTCGTCAGAAAAACACGTCTCCCTCTTACAGACACAAGTGCTTCCAAATAAAGCCTATAGGCTAAGGCAATAAAATATATGTCTGACTTTTGACTTCTTTTTTTTTCTTGTAAATTAAATGCACAGAATATTTTAAATAAAGGAAATTCTTTATTTTGGGGGTATTAACACTCAAAATAAAATAAAAAATATAAAGATAAATGTCGCAAAACTCCCAAATTCTATAGGAGTAGGCAGGCTACTTAATGAGGAAAATGTAGTGTAATAACAGCCTTATTTCAGAGAAAAAAAGAGAGAATTTTGTGGTTAAATATGCGAAATTTTACATTAAAAAAAGTAATTTACATTTATTCCAATACTTAAATTGCTAAGTGCATAAAATAAGGCAATTTCTGTAAAGCACAACGAATATTCAGCCGAAAAAAACACGTGTAAAGGCTTAGAAAACGAGAATAATCGCAGGTTTGCAACGTCCCAGTGAAATTTGAAAATGTTCCAAACACATAATCGAAATCTAAACATGTTTCGCAGTTTACAAGAATTAATTGGTTAAAATAAAAATAAATAGCAATCAAAGAGTAATTAAATAAAACACATTTCTAAAACAATTTTGATTTGTGAGTTTGTTTATTCAGTAACGAAAATTTCCTTTTTAAGACTGTAAATCAAAGTGGACAATCTCGGAAGAACACCTGGCAAATAGGTTCTGTGACAACCTACGCCATGTTTGTGCACGTGCAAGAAGAACACCCTCTCTCTCTCTCTCGATGACGTCATCATTTATCGTATTTGCAACTTGGGTACATTCTTTAAAATTTTCACGTGTTTACTATGAAAGAACAGTGCCACAATTATACTGTACGGGGGAGAAATTTAATCGGTTGAAATGCGGCGAGTTCAGGTGTGGAAGATGGAATGGTGACAGAATCGTCAGTCGCTGTGTTGACTTTGCTCCTTCGTAACTGGACACTCCCCGAGGGAGAGGTCTCACTACCTGACACGGATATGTAAGGAAAGAAATTCCCATCCGCTATTGGAATGCCTAACATCAAATGCCATGTGAAGAAAAACATCGAAAAGACATGGCTTCAAAATAATCGAAAAAATTCTTATATATTATTATTATTGTTATTGTTTTTATTTTTTTACGTTACACGTTTCATTGTAAATAAAATACAGATGCGAAAATTACAAAAATGGGGATAAGCGCACAACGCCATCTGTTATTTAAAAATAAAAATTCCGTTTTTTTTAATGGAGTTTAATAAAATTAAATTTTTAAATATATATAAATTTTATTTTTATTTCTTATCTTATTATATATTTGTGTAAACAAAATTAAATAATTAATTATTGTTATATTATTTTATGTACAAAACAATTAATTTTTAAAACAATTGACTGTAAATATGACCGGTAGATGACAGCACACGTATGGTAAAAAATATATAAATACAGTATACATTTTATATGTCACGATTATTTAATATTATTCTGTTTTATATATTATTTATATATAAAATACGTTGATGTTTAAATTTAACTTTGTCAGAAATTTAAAAATGTATTAGTAATGTTAATTATCATATAAATATATTAAAATGTATTTATTTACTAATGTTAAATCAAGTAAAAGATGCGTAATTTTCACTAACGCAAATAATTAAATTAATATAATTCTTAATTATTCTCACTCTTAATTTAAAATTTATTAAATACTGTTTATAAAATAAACCTTCGCTAGATGGCGCCAATTAATAAAATTAACATTGTTCATTCTTCGTACAATCAGATGGCAGCACATGATTATCTCGGTTTCTATCGCATTCGATTATTGCACTAAAATTTGGTTTACATAATTTAAATGAATGTACCATAATTAATTTTCATAAATCAAGTTTAATTAATTCTCATACTATTAATTTTACATTCGTATTAATTAATTGATTTCTATCATTTTAATTATAAACAAGAAAACAAATGGCATAACAGTGCCAGATATTAATGTATTCAGGAAAATAGTTTAATAAAAATTGCAAATATTATGTATTTTTTAAAAAATTAAATATTAGTGATTCAGGCCAAATGGTATTGCCTCTGGATTCATGCGTAAAAATTTATTTGGTTTCCAATATAAATGTCATTTAAATACTTAAATCAAATCTCTAAACAACGACCACTTACGGAACATAAATATGTTTGGAAATTACTTTTTATGATTTTAAAAAGAAGCGTTCGTGAAAAATGGTCGTTGTTGGAAGGTGGCCGTCATTGGAGGTTCAATTTATATGTTCGAGTCTTTTGTATATTTGTTTACATCATAATAGCCCTATAAGTTATAGGAAGTAAGTCGAGAGGAAGGGACTATTTCTAAGCCCAGGAACCGAACAAGAGCCCGTATCGGAATCTATAAAAATAATTTCAGTTAAGAAATGTACTGTACATAATATATTTATGTAATTTTAAGTGTATAAGAAATATATGACAACCTATTACGTCAGAAGGTATGGAGAGGCCCTCGAGATTTTAACCTTAGGGCCCGTGATCTCTTTCCTTAGAATCTCGTGTCCATATTGGTCTAACTAAATTCTACAAATGTATTTAAATTTAATAAAATAATTTAATTACTTTAAAACGTAAATCGTGTTTATGTGCTCAATCAATTTACAAATTTAAGCAAATAAATATATGATGTTTACAGTAAAACACCCCCGTAAATTATTATACACTCATAACTTACACATATAACTTAAGTCTGTAATATGTATAAATATTTCATATTATGTAATATCTTTATTATAATATAATATAAATTATAATATGTGTATAA